TGATGTACTCCGAATTTCTTCTGTATATGGGATGCTGGACCCGTTTTCCAGCAGGTGCTGCTCCCCACCAATATATGGAGCCTCTCCTCAGGTGCTAGTGGTGTCTGCTCTTACCAGCACCACTATCACTGGAGGGGGGATTAAAAAGAAAATAATAATAAAAATCCGACAGGTTCCTACGATCACCTTACCCAGATCAACCAACGCATTCCCTGAGGTCTGAACCGGAATGTTCTTCGAATTCCGAAAAATGTCTGGGATACCAGGAACATCGCCGATGCGAGTCATGATGTGGAAACCATAACAGTTCCAACCAAACTCCTCATCAAAACAGCAGCATACATCATAATCACCCCATGAGACCTTCTTATGCATGAAGAACAAATCTCCAATAGATTTATTCTTCCACTAAATGAAGCGGACACGCGAACACAAAAAGTCCTTAAAGACAGAAGGGAAAATCGAGCTGTCGATCACTCTGACAACTAAAGCATGGACTTCAACAGAGCTGACCCTATGGTCAAATTGAGCCCGTACCACAATCCTTCTCCGAATATCAACACCGATTCTCCTCTTGACTTCTCTGGCCAGCACCCCCTTAAGCAATGAACACATCTTTCCTCGAAAAATCCCTAGCGGCTCTAAACGGACGGATCAGGGTGGTATCCGAACAAAGAGGCAAACACCGCCTCCTCCAAGGCTAGTGTAACATAAGCTGCAGCTGTCCCTTCAATATCGCCCTTCCCGAGGGTGTAAATGGGCCAAAAACGAAAGAACCTCCCCTTGGAGCAATTGCTTAGCTTCCTTCAAACAGACACGGGACAAATCCTTCCTTGCGGAAGTGGTGCCAAAAACCCGGCAGACGATCGACCATTTATCCGACAAAAAAATGTCAGGAAAAACCTCCAAGACAATATGGTGAACTGGGGAAGTGAACACATCACGAAGGACTGAAAGCAGACTATCCCTCAAGACACCACCTTCGATATAAAATTTCACAAACGCACCATAGCAAGGAGGAACAACACTASTGCCCTTCCTCTTCCACAGCAATGGCCTGATGTCGAACCTCATACACCTCCGTGTGCGTCTTGTATTTAAAACAGGAGCAAAACCACGAATGAGTCGGAATGACAGCTTTCTCTACCATGTCAACTGTGACCCTACCGTTAATGAGGGGAATATGTAAATATCTCCAAAGCCCAAAATACCGAAGCCAGCGATACAATTTAGGACTTTTTTTTTTTATTATTCTCTGTTTCTTTAGTCTTGTGCCTGCTTTGCACTGTTTGCAACTCTGCATGTCTGCTGGCTAAATGTGCTGGTTGATTTGCTGCAAGACATGTGCTGTGCTGCCTGAACTACAGAGTGCAAAGCAGGTAAGTGCCTGCCAACACCCCCACCCAACCTCCCTCCCCCCTCGTTGTTTTTTTTTTTTTTTTTTTTTTTTTTTTTTTTTTTTTTTTTTTTTTCCCCGGGGACCTAAACCCCCCCCCCCAAAAAAAAAAACCCCCCCCCCCAAAAAAAATTTTTTTTTTTTTTTTTTTTTTTTTTTTTGGGTCCGGACATTTTTGCACCCCGGGGACCGGTCCGGACTGTCCGGTGTCTGGTGATGTCCGGTGTCCGGTGATGTCCGGTGTCTGGTGATGTCCGGTGTCCGGTGATGTCCGGATCACCGGACAGTCCGGACCGGTCCAGACGCTGGTCCGGAAGACAGTCCGGAAGTGTCCAGTGTCCGGGTCCGCGGTTACCATGAGAATTTCAGTAAGAATATTACTGAAGGACCAGATTTGTGGGCAAGGAATAACCTATCAATAAAAAAAAAAAGATAAAAAAAAAGAAATGCGCGAGACATTCCCCCACTCTCCTCCCCCCTTCTATCCCTATTTCCTTACATCCCTATGGTCCCACCGTCCTTCCCCTTATCCCCCTCCTTTTCCCCCTTGCTCTTTTGTTTCCCATCCCTTCCCCCACCCTTTCCCCCGTCACTTCATTCACCACCCTGCAGCCAGCACACAGTAGCCCGCCACTCAGCCAGCGCCCAACACTCGGCCACGCAGCAGTCAGCGCCCAGCAGCCCACCACGCAGCCACTGCCCAGCAGCCCGCCTCGTATCCAGCACCCAGCAACCTGCCACGCAGCCAGCGTCCAGCAGCCCGCCACGCAGTCAGCGCCCAGCAGCCCGCCACGCAGCCAGCGCCCAGCAGCCCGCCACGCAGCCAGCGCCCAGCACCAGCAAGCAGGCGTCCCACTAAGCTGTGTGCAGGCTCCCACTAATCAAAGCCACAAACTAGAAAGGATGGAGGCAGCAAGAGAATAATGAGAGAAGAGAGAGAGATGATTAAAGAAGCGAAGGCGAAGGGTGAGGCAGAGGAGAGAAGAATAGACATAGAAAAAAAGCAGGAACAGAGAATGAATCATGGAGAAGAACCCCGCCCCCACCACAAACAAACATCCTATGCTCACTCACCTCGGTAATGAGGAAGCTGGTGATGATGATGTGACTGATGAAAACCACCTCTGAGATGATGATTATGGCGTGACTGATGAAAACGACCTCTGAGATGATGATGATGATGATGATGATGATGATGATGATGATGATGATGATGTGGCTAATGGAAACAACCACCAATGATGATACAATGCTACTATTATCGTGACTCCGTCGATGATAGTGATAACGGAAAAGATGCCGATGAAGATGATCCTTAATGCAGACACCAGTGATAAAGAGGAAAGACCACGTTGACGAGCCGCTGGTAACAGTCCCCGAGTTGAAACAGCATCCTCACGTCGCTCGAAGAATCCGCACTCACTATTTCCTGTCGATCCTCCTCCTACTCCCCGTTATGTCCCTCTTCTCTTCTCCCCTCACGGAAGCCGACCTCCCTCCACTATTAACCCGCGAATGAAAAGCGAGATAGATTAATCAAGAAGCTTTGCTCTCAAACGAAAACAAGCTCCCCTCCATACGGCATGCTAACCTGCAGCATTGCCCGAATGAAGCGTGAAGCGGCGAGATGGCACATCTGTGCTTTCAAAAGACAGGAAAAAACAAGTAACGTTCTTATTACCATGCCATCGTCATGTAGCCCCCTATAATTCTTGTGACTAGCCAACACCTGCCCCTGTTATAGAAGATGAAGATGCCACCTCAGCACTGACATGGCAGCCTGGCCAGTCAGCATGTGCACAACCACATGCCCCCCGCCACGCCTGCTCAAGCGCCAGCAACACACACATGGCCCCCCAGCATTGCCCGCACGAGCACCAGCGTCCACTGCAAGCTCCACCAGAAGCCCGCACCCATTCCGCCTGCAGCCTGCACTTACCCCACCAAGCATGCCCACATGCAATGCCAGATGCGCGCTCCCTCGACGCCCACCCACCATGCAAGCGCGCCCACCAGTAGCGACCGCACGGCCCTCCCGAAGCCCGCGCCCGCATGACCAGCAAAGCACACGACGCACGAGCAGCGCTCGAGCGATCCATCAGCAGCACCTCCGACATCCCCGTCCCCTGCTCCATTGCGCTGGCTAAGGTCGCCAGCTTAGTTCCTCGCTAACAGAGCTTTCTGCAATTTCCGCTCGCAAATTTTGGATGAATCCTTCTACATCGTTGATGGTGGTGTATCCTCCCTCTGGTTTTCTGTTTTGTGTTGTACCAGGCTTGATTTGGATTTTGCGAACATGGTCGGCAGGGCATCGAACTGGGTGGCGGAGTATAAAGTAAGATCATTATATAAGCTGGATGCCCTCACACCGGAGAGCTTTCACGACCTTGCAACTCGGATGGCAAAGGACTCCGACCTCTTGGCGCAATACATGAATTACTGGATGTTACAGAGGCCTGCTGCTTGTGACAAGGTCTGCTTGAATGCCAGGCTTTGTTACCAGGTGACGAACACGTTCGAGGGCTACAAGCATTGCATGGGTGGAAAGGTAGATGGCTGGGGAATGATCCTTGCGACGCTTATGAATAAGATCATGGAATGCTGAAGCTGAGTACAGGTACTCTGCTGGTGCTGTAAGCATCTTCTGTTTTGGTCACGACTCACGAGTGAATAGTGGAATACTGAATGCTACACATCAGTGGTGCCTTTGTGTGCCTGTGGTGAACTTACCGAAGTGGAGTCTTGGATTTCTCAGAACTCTGTTATTATCTGCAAGGCAACTTTGAAGGACACGTTTGAAATTTGAATCATACTTCACTCAACTCCTTGGATCTTCTAAAGGTCACACTCTTTTGTGATCCCACTGGAGGCATGCATTACCATTCACATTATCACTGTCATCATCGTAGTACCATCATCATCATCATACTCTTCCTCCTCCTCCTCCTCCTCCTCCTCCTCCTCCTCCTCCCCCCCCTCCCCATCATCATCATCATCATCATCATCATAATAATAGTCATCATCGCCATCATCATTATCACCATGGCCGTCATCATCGCCTCCTCCTCCTCCCCGTCATCATCATCATCATCATTGTCGTCGTCATGGGTCGCTTGGTGACAGAAACTCAACTGCCAGGGCCAATCGAGGGAGCACAAGCGCTGCTGATCGAGTGTTGGAGCGAAAATGCTTGGTTGCACCTCAACTCCTCAGGCAGGTTGAGCAACTTTCCTGAGTGGAAGGGGGGCTTTCAGACTTCATTGTGGGTTTGCTGTACTCAACCCACTCTTTTCAATTCATGCAACCCACTATTTTTCCATCCTGCTACTACTGCAGGTAAGCATACGTCCGTGAAATGCACAACATCCATCCACTCTTTCTGAAAACCAGTTCTCTTAGAGGGAATGTGCAGAAGGTTCTGTTGTATGGAACAACACTTGCTCTTTTCCTAACAATCTTTGCTGGCCAAGAGCCAACAAACCTTAACTTCAGATGTACCTGGTTGCAAAAAATCTGCTCTAGCCTGAGTAGCCCAGAGCAGATGGCTGAACTCCAACAGACCATCTCACTGGAAGCGAGCGGTCCACTTAGGTTGAAGTTGTTGAACTGCAAAAAAACAGGAACAAGAGACATGGGAACAGCTGGCCTAGCTCAGTTGGTACACCCATGAGCCAACTGTTGAAATACAGACCAGAGTTCAAATCCAGATGGAACCAGATGAATGGGAAACCAAAAAAGAGAAAAAAAAGCCGGCGTCTTAATGTCGGGCTCCATTTGGCAGCGCATGGGCTTGGCAGTCTATCAAGCTGTGAGCCGATGGCGGTTGTCTTCTGCCAACTAACAATCACTGCAGTACTTTGCCATATAAATCTGAATATTATAATCAATGGAGCGGCTTTTTTTCCTTTTCTATTTTTGAAAAAATAAATTAGCAGAGTATTATTACTAGGGAAAGTGATATGAGCAGCCTTGCTAGCTGAAAGAAGTGGCCGTGACCACCTCTAGCAGGTCCCTCCCAATCACAGTTGGCAAGAAGAACCAAATGGACAGGGACAGCACAGAGGGGGCGGGAGGTACTTGGGAAAGGGACAATCACCTACCAGGTCCCAATCACAGTTGGCAAGAAGAACCAAATGGACAGGGACAGCGC